TCAAATGCTGGTTTATGTTACCAGTACCACTATAAAGATTATGAGCTTGTTACAATGCTGTTTCCTGCTGATCACTAAAGTAAGGCAACAATTTTCTTGCCATACCACTGTTTGCATTTTCTTGCTTTACAGTTATTTAAGTGTAACGTTCCGTGAATGTTATAAGCATAACACTGGAAAAAATTTAGCGCAAAAATAATAATCCAGTTCGGTAAACAGTGTCAATAGTGGGTTTTTGAGTGCGACTGAAATATCAGTTACGATGTGTCTTTTTCCCAGTTTCTATGGAAACTAATGTGAAAGGAATAGTGAATGTGACAACACATCTAGTACAGAACTGTGATTTTTTTAGTCAGGTCATTTAGATACTTTAGGAACATTCAAATAAATAAATAAAACTAAGTGAATAAATAAACATATAAACAAATAAATAAATGAAGTGCAACATACTCTGGGGTAAATGGTGATGGTTATGTAACGTATGTTGCTTCGGGTGAATGATTTCCCTTTTGCGGCAATGTTTTAAAACTGATTTTATGCCATTTTAAAATGAACCTTTACATCGTCCTCCCATACTGGTGTACATACACCCTAAGTCTTTTCAGATAGCTATATTGTTACGTAACCCCAGAATGTGTGTGAGAGTGTGAGTGTGAACTATACTTTGACGGATTGGTATTTTGTGCAGTTTCTGAATCGTGATTAACACACCCTTGCTGGTTGGCAATAGTTATTAGTTTACTAATCTCATGTTTTGTTGACTGACGTCATTTTCCAGGTCAACAGTGACGTGCTGCACTGGAGCACTGCGGGGTTGCCAACTCTCATGCGTCTGGCGTGACACTCGCTTTCAGACTGTCACACTTATGCATAAAATCTTTATATTACTCCATTATTAACCTAAAATTAGCTACATCAGAAGTGGTGGGGCAGTTTGCAAGCCTTACAGACTATTTACAAGGCAATAAGACTGTCGCATACATGTGAAACCGTGTGCAGACTTGCCTCGAATTGAAAATCAACCAGCCAGCCGGCTGACCATGTAACAGGTGACATATCAGTCTTAAGCGGTTGGTGAGACAGAGGTATAAATGTCCTGCGACATCGCGCTAGAGCTCGTCTGTGCTTCTCGGCCTGTGTATGTGACCCCCCCCCCCCACACCCCTCAGGTTGAGTGCCCCCCCACTCAGGAGCGGCGGCGGCTAAGCTTGCTAACGCACCATCTGGTGCCGCCAGCCTCTCCGCCCCGCTTTGGCAGCCGTCCAGCAGCCCGGGCCTCCCAGCGTCACGCTGCTCGCCGAGATTACAGAGCGACGGAAACGAGGAGTAGCCCTGGACCTATCCGCAGGGGGGTGCCAGCACGCCCCGCACGCACTCCGCTCAATTACAAACCCACTTTGCGTCCGCGTGTGCAAGTAGCAATTATTGCCGGAGCAGATTGTTATTTTGTGTGGTTTCTGAATCGCGATTAACAGCCTTTGACCCATAATTGTGCGGTCCAGAAGTATAAATGGTGTTTATTTGGTGTGACCTTTTTGATATCAAGCAATACAATTACATGACTTTTAAACAATTAGGCACTCGCAAGGAAGCGGATGGGTAATCAATGTTGTTATTTTAATGAGCGGTCTGATAATCTGAGATGACTGTGGCCTTTTTACCGCTGTTCAGGATATGTGGAGTATCTTCGCTAGTAGCTTGGGGAACTTTCAACACACAATCTGTTGGATTTCTCTAATGATTCCCCGAAAACTATTTTGGCTCTAAGATGGCTCTTATCCTCCTCCTTCAGACTGCAAATGGCACCATAGCAGATTTTATTAAAAAAAAACAGGATTGTGCGTAAAATGTTTACTTCGGCAGGTTTATTTAAAGCTACGTTTTGCGGTGGAGTTTTCCCACCAGATGCCGGTGCTGTTCATCTCTGGTGACTGAATCCACATACATCTCCGGGGTTAAAAGTATGACACTTCCGCAGTATAGCTTTAATGGATGTAATGTGAATGGAAATTCCCACTGCTAATGAGGGACAAAGGGCTATTTATTTATTTCTTTGACTTCACTAGCGGCAGAGCCGACAGTCGCCGAGCGACAGGCTGCTATGTTTCCCGCAGAGAGCGAAAGGCCAGGCAGCTGCAGGGAACGATAGGCTTGGGTTTTGCACCGATACACAAACAGAAATCAGCTGGAGCCACCGACTAGCCTGGGATACTAATGTCGCAGGGCGATGGGCGAGGGCGTTCGTCATAGGCACGCTTATCCACGAGATGGCGCCCTCCTTCACGTGCTTTCTGACGTGGCGCGTCAAAGGCCGACCCGGTCGTGATGGTTATTCTTTAAACACAGGCAGAATTATGCATTGCATCTTGAACTAAGATGCAGTCTGCGTCAAGATATTGGATTATGTGAATATATTTGACTTAGAGTATAACTCTTTTCTGATAGAGGCCCCATCATTGTTTACTTGTTGGCTTGTGTTTCCATCCATCCATCATCTTTCATAACCGCTTATCCAGTGCAGGGTCATGGTGAGACTGGAGCCAGTCCCAGAATGCACAGGGCAGGAGCCCGGGGGGAGGTGCTGGATAGGATCCCAGTTCTTTGCAGGGTGCATACACTCACATGCCATTGCACTCTATGGACAACAGTCACAAATACACCTAGACTGCATATCTATGGCCCATGGGAGGAACCCAGAGTATGCTGATTGTGTGTAGAAAATTGTGAAATGCATGTGCTCAACAAGTGCAAAATAATAATGACAAAGTGTAGCAAAGGCCACGCCCCCCACCCACGTAACCCCATCCATTATATTTTTGCAAATATAATTGTACATATAGCATTTGTTTTATTTTTGTTTGTGTATTCTATGTTTACTTGTCTGGCCTGTTTACTGTCTTTGCGTTTTGTCTTGTTTTGCACTATATGTTTGATTGTCTGCACTTACCTTTCTGCTATATGCAGAAGAATTTCCTGCTGGAATCAAAACAGTTCATCTTATCTTATAACTATCTACAATAATAGTTTTGGAAGCATTTTTAGCAAAAAGACAAGCATTTATTTTGTTTTTTAATACAAGTGACACTGGTTATTCAATACATTAAAGGAAAACGCCCTGCCAATTAAAGTAGAATCAGTGTCTTAATTTTTAAATTTCATTAGATGTTCCCTGACTCCATTACAAAGCACATACAGTGGAATAAGATGTTGCCGGAATGAGATGAATCGAAACTGACACCCTCCCCAACAGGACCTGGGGAGAAGCAGATTGTCGACGTAAGTCCCTACTTGATTTAAATCCTAACATAACGCACCAGCATAAAACCTGCAGATTAGCCTGATCCACAGGATTCAAATATAGATTTCTAAGATCAGATTTATCATAATTCTGCTCACTTCTGTGCTCTCCCTTTCTCTCTCTCCTTCCTTAAAACCGGGGAGTCATTTTGAAATACATTTTCAATTTAAAACACGCAAAGTACCCATAATTTGCTTTAGGGTTTAGAGTCTCTTCCACAGTAAAACTGGACTGAGCTGTTCCCGTTTGTGCGTCCATGGTAGGTTTAACATAGGCTTACCAAAAAAGTGAACGGTTGTCACGTCACGGGCAAGGACGGAAGCAAAGGCAGGCGTGGGGAAAACCAAAAGGGGGCTTTAATTAAATGAACTGAGCAAAAGGAAATCGGACCATGAAGGGTCAAAACAGGGTAGGAAAGATCAAGCGAGAGCACAGAACACAGGGCACACACAGGCAGCAACATCAGTGACTGGACTGGGGAGCTTGTGACAGGGAGCCACTATATATATCACTGACGAGGGAGCAGACGAGAGGCACCTGGGGTGATCCACACGAGGCCTGTAACGAAAGGCAGGATTAAACAATGGAGAGAACGAGGGGGAAGGAATGCAGGGTGTGACAACGGTGTTGTGACGGCAAGTGGTTTTGCGGGACAATGCATGTGCACCCCTTAACTTAATTATATCCAGCGTCAATATTGGGAGGAGGGGGCCTGGGCTCGCCCTTTTACACAAGCCATGCATGTATTCATTTATGCCTTATCAGAAAATGAGTCGAGCTTATCAGATCCGTTACGTGGATCAGTCTCCGGGATCGAGTTGTGTCAGATACATAAGCATTTGAAATTATCGATCCCTTCTTTTCAAGGTCACGAAAAGAGGCAGATTTAATCCTCTCCTTCAGCTTTTATTGTTTCCGAGGGAATTTACTTTCTCTGGGATAACATCCACGGTGATTAATCGTTCCCAGAATATGCAGACGGAAATCGACGTGGCCAGAGCCTCTTGTTCTCTGGCAGGACGGAGTAGCATGGGTGCAGGGGGAAGCTGTAAATCTCCTCCCAAACTTTCCTGGATGCGCTTCTATTATTTACAAATGTGATTCCTCAAAGGGGTGCTGCACTAACATTCATTTAATACCCTCTACTTTGAAAATAAGTAACGCTAGGTCGATTTGTGTTACGGGCATGGGATATATAAATAAACATATATTGTTTTTTTTTTTTCTAAAAATAATTTTCAGAGGTGCTTTCCAGGACATTACTTTCATATTCTACAGATAGATAGATAGATGGATGGATGGATGGATGGATGGATGGACGGATGGACAGACAGATAGATAGGCTCATTATTGTTTTCTGCCTGTTGTCCCCTTATCCTTAAGGATTTGTGTTACTTCCCCCCCCCCACCCCACCCCCATAGTGTCAAATCCCTGTGCCCATAGACCCGTTCACCCTCAAGTCTGAAGCAGGCCTGACTGTCGTATTACCGTATCGTGTTTTAGTTTAGGGTTTTGCGTCTTGAACTCCCTCTGTTGGCTTGGTCCAGAAAAAGCGCCTTCAGGAGTTCATTGTGATTACTGGCTTCACAATGGGTAAACTGGGCTGTCATCCAGCTCATATTAAGCGAAGGTCTTTGCGTCTCTGTGGCACGGATCTGCAAATGCTTCTGCCACCACCCCCCCCCCCTGCTGTCTCCACAGAGCTTCCCAGTGGCTCCCACGGGCAATTCACCTTCAGGCCGCTGCCTCCGCCCCCTCCACCGCCCCCACACGCCTGCACCTGTGCCCGGCCTGCCCCTCACCCCCCAGGGACACTGCAGAGGAGCACCATGCCAGCCCGAGCCCAGAGCAGCCAGACGGGGGGACCGGGCGAGGGCCAGACGGAGGGCACACAACCACACAGTAGCTGGGTCCTCAACAGCAACATACCGCTGGAGACCAGGTGAGTAGAAACCACTCGTTTGTAAGCCACCATTAATTAGCCGCTTAGCCGGCAGTCTGACTCAAAGGTACAACAGAAAGAACCCTCCAGGACTTGAACCTGCAACCTTCCAGTCGTGTTATTTAATCAAAGCATTATAGTACCTGCTGCCACAAGTCCCACCGTGACGACTCCCCAGTATAGACGCTGGAAAATCCCATTATAATTTCACAATATAAACTATAATCCATCTTCCCCAGATTTCATTTCTTTTCAAACAGCACGTTTTCCGTGATGAATTTTTTACACTTCTGTTATTGACAGCATCAAAGCTGTGAACCCGGTTCTATATACATGGTTTTTAGGGTCTAGTGTATAAAGGCTGAACAAATAATGATCAGATTAAGGAAACAGCCGGTAGCCGCTGTGTTTATGTAATTTACCTCCTTTATTTCAGATTAATTCAGTGGGGCAACTAGGACTAGTATTTCAGTATCATTCATTATTATTTTACTAAATTGGTTGTAGAAGTATAGTATGTATATGTCGGTTTAGTGTGAAGTTAATGCTTAAGTTAATTGCATTATCCATATGATATTCTTAATTGTTTTTAGTTGGCTGCCAAACGAATATTGCATTTTCCCCAAGCAATAGTGCCTTTTGCAGCTCATCCTCCATCTTTTTTCATCACTCGGAGCCCAATTAAATCTTCCTCAGAAATTCAAAAAGTCAAAGAGTGTGGCCTTTATCCGTCTTCCCCATGAACCGAAATCTCCTTTTTCAGGTAATGAAAGTGTTGTGTTTTTTTTTTCTTTAAATGTAATTGGTCTTAATCTCTTCCCTTTGGTCAATGGGAACAGAAGAGACTAGATTAAAGGACCAGGGTGGGGATGCACGGAAAGAGATTGGGTGGGGGGGGGGGCGGTGATAATTGACAGGCAATCAGAAGGAACAGCTCCCACCGACAGCTGCATGGGGTCACAGGTGAAATAGAATTGGCTCCCACTGACCTGCACTGTCTCATCTCTCATTCCCATTTATCCCAGGAGAGAGAAAAGGGAAAATGTAAAAAGACATTTCAAAATATCCACCACAGAAATTGGTTCAACTGTCAGCAGAAGGTTTGGCGCACGACTCACGGTGCCCCTTCTGTCGTGGAGCGAGGCAGCTGCCTTTTAATACAGCTCTAGAAATTATCTGGTGGGCAAGGAGCAGACCGTTCCCCCTCGAGGTGGCGGAACAGGGAAAGCCCCCTTGAGTAGGGCCCAATCTGGACCCAAACGGGGACAGGTAGAAGCAAACCCGGGGGGTATGGAAACGGTATACACAGTTGTTCCTGCTCAGAATGGTGACGGGGGTACAGGAATAGACATGTTCCTCTCTAAATGGATGCAGGGTGGGCGATGACATAAACACTGCCATGTTGAGTATGGGGGAGAGCATGGGGGCTCTTGAGCTTTCTTTAAGCAATTTTGAGTCCTCATTTTTCAGCAGGGGGGTGACCCTGGCTTCACCCCTCAGCAGACAGGTGGTGGTGTCCCCTCGGACACCTCCTTCTGCCGGGGAACTTTCCACACTGCCTCTGGCCCCCCCTCCGGCCAGCCAGGTGGCAGCACTAACCGCAGGCTGCAGTCTGAACCTCAGGAGAAGGTGCCGCTGTCCTTGGCTCCACCCCCTCTAGGCAGTCCAGCCGTGAGCCCCCCCCCTCCCAAACACACACACACACACATACATATACCAGGTCTTTGCTTATTACTTTTCAACAATGGACCTTTCACGGGGGATTGACGGGCCCCCGGTACCGGCAAAGGTTTTGGCAGCGGACGAGTTGCCAAAGTCCAAGCTGTTAGTGGAAAATGCCACGTGCATTTTAAAGCTCCTGTTTGCTATTTTTCAGGCAAACAGACGACAAGAACAAAAGAGCACATCCACTTTGGGTAGGGAGACAGCCTGACCCCTTCAGTCAGGCACAGCACAAACAAATGGTGTTCTCCTTCACCCTCTCTCTCTCCCTCCCTCTTTCTCTCTCTCTTTCAATGAGCTCCCAGGTGCTCTGTCAGACAGGGCCACAGCTAACCTCAGTTAGCCTACGCAAGGCCGCTCTCAGAGCCGTCTGCTTGCAGTTAGTCAAAACCTTGTCTGCTATAGACCCATTTCTGTATTAAGATTTATTGCCATTATTTTAATTACTTTTGTGTCATTTTAATGTCTCCCGCAGTGATATGGCAGCAGTGACTATGGAAGCCCTAGTGTAATTTAATGAAAATGGCCAGATTGATGCAAATAGCGCTTTAAAATGACCAAATCCATAACTAAATAAAATGGAGACAGCTGCCCGAAGGCTGCCCCGACCATATGGAAGAAGCAGCCATTGTATAGTGGTCGCAAATACAGGAAGAGGGGTCGAAGGACCCAAAGCTAATTGTAAAAACACAGGCATCCTGATGGACAGCCGTGCCTCATTGCATCAGCTAATATTAACAGGATGTCATCGAGTTTGCAAGCGGGGGAATACATTAATAAATGTCAACATTCGCTAAAATGGCTACAGTATTTAATAAGGATTTGAAGGGACGCTCATCCATTTACACACAGTGTGGGAGTCTAGCGAAATAATGCGAACAAATGTTTGAGCGATATCTAGCTACAAAGCTTAGCTTGCATTATCCAATGACAGATTTCATTTCAGATAGCTGGCCAATTATAATACAAAGAAAAATTCATAACCCTTTCTAATTTGATGCTCCTAAACATTTGACTGTTAGAGGTATATATTCTTCACACAGTTGTAAAACTGTCAAAGGTTAGCGGTGTTAAAACATTAGCATTTTTTCTTTATATATTTAAGCTTCACTCTAATGTGTCTGCGTATCCAGTTCATCTAGCGATGAACGCAGCCAGAAGCAGTATCCATATCAGTCACTGTAGCCCATGCACTACATATATCGTACTTAGGTTATGGAAAGCATCCCTCAAATATTCTTATAATCATAATTGTTAGCGAAAACAGGAGACGCAGGACAGTGTTTCTTGTTGGTTATTTCAGATCCTACAAAAGTAGCCAGCAGGGGGCATTGCTAGAGATTGGCCCCCATTACAGTATATCATATTACACCCCCCGAATCCAGTTATGCTCTGAATTTTTAGGGCCGCTGTCACTCAGGGGACCCTTGGAATCATCCTACCCCCCACCCTCCTTTTTTATGGCGCCCCTGCTGGCCAGAAAGAGACGTAGCAGAACAAACTAGAAACACTTTACTCCAGATCTATTGTAGTACATTTGTGTTTTTGTGTACCGTTCTCTGTGGACAACAAAAGTCCAACCACTTCAAATGTTTCTCATATTTTTGTTATATATTTGCTACTTAAACTAATTTTAATAAAAATGTTCATTAAATTCCAGGTTAAGCTAAGCTAAACCTTTATGATGGTATGTATGTATGTGAGTTGGTGTAGTTGATTTTGTTCTTTTTTGTTTTTTCGTTAATTACTTTTTCCATGAGATTGAGGTGTTTTTGTCGAGATTACGAAAACAGAGATCTGCATCTTAAAAGCAAATGCAGAGTAGTAATTCTAATGACCTTGCTAGTCAAAGTGAAATAACAGGCATTTCCCCCAAGCTCTCTGGGGAAATATGGTTGTTTATATGAGATTTGGTGCAGGACTGCAGCATGAAGCCAGTGGATATTGTCATGGAATATTGTAACTGGTTATGAATAGGAAAGCAGTACAAGCCTTGTTGGTTCGCAACAGTTTGGCGTGAGATAAAAAAAAAAAACTCACAAACAGCATGCCCTGTATCGTTTTTGGCGAGGGCAGTGACCGAACAAACTTCAGCCTCATTCGATTTGCGATTCTATTGATGTCAGGACAAATGGCCTTCACCTTCTTAGAAGCTGTTTCCGAAAGCGTGCTTCCCAGCTGTGTTGAGCATAACCTGCTGCTGAGTTTGATATTGACCTGTCCTTCGCTGACCTTGGGCATGTCCGACAGTGCTTGCTCTCAGACACCGCGGCACTGAGGCTGTATACTCACGTAGTGTCCACTTACTGCCGTTTTGGGGCTTGGGAAGATGAGGACTTTCAGGGATGCTTGTCAAGGACTCCTCAGGATGCTCGCACAGCTGTGAAATCCCCGCACAGCAGCGTCCCCTGCCTCTGATGTACTCAGATCATACATAATTGAATATTAAAACTGAATCTCTGATTTGGAACTGTCAGTAAATCTTGTCATTGCTCCCACATGCACGGTTTTCTCATAATATGTTAGCCACTAATCTAGGCATCATTTATAAACTTTTTTATATATTTTTGAGTCTCAGATGTGACATAGTCTTCTGCATTTATTCAGCATCATGTGAAATTTCCTGATAATTTTGCAGCCCACTAGTTATAGACTTTAAATTTGCCAGAGAACCTTGCAAGACTAAACAATGCACATACTGCAGTAATAAATAACATATATATGGCTTTACACATAGGATAAAAGCGTCACGGTACCACCTAGATGCATTATCAAAGATTTATTTCCCACCCAGCTATGGAATGAATAGTTTTGTCTTTTGTGAGTATGTGTCTATAAGACATTTGTCCATAATTCAGGGAAGAGAGTCATTAAATTAAGGTACTCCTCTGTAGAGTGTCCACGGCCATAAGAGGAGTGTTTGAGTGGAGTTTGAGGTTAAGGTTAATGCAGCGAGAGAGACAGAGATTGAGAGAGAGGGAGGGAGAGAAGGAAGGAGAGTAGAGTGAGTAAGAAGAGAAATGGAGAGAGAAAGGTCGGTTTAGGGGCGAATAGATGTGGTAGAAAAATAGGAATTGGGTGGATTTCATCAGTGATGGAAGAGCAAGGAGGAGGAGGGGATGTGTAAATCAATTAAAAAATAAATCTCCTTAAGCATGAAATTATACTTAATCTCTGAGCAAAGTCAAATGTTTTATTACTGGATTAACAAAAGAATATGTAATTTTTACAACAAAGATTTATTATAATGCTAGTCCTTTCGCCTATAATTCACAACA